TATTTTCTTTTTTTCTTTATTATCTTTCTAACTCAACTGATTTTCATCGTCTGTTGGTTGTCAAGGTATGTGCAGAAATAAACAATCATAGAAGTTAGAGATGGAAAAGACCTACTTTTATATCTCTTAACCATTTTCTTCATTTGATTACTTGTCAAGGATACTTTTTTCCCTTTGATGTTAAGCACATTAATCAAACAAATTTACCTACTGACTAGTTTACAAGTCTGGTAAGTTTTGATCACTTGCCATGTTTTTTTAAAATCCCTTCAACCAGTGATCACTGAAAACAAAGTACAGTAGAACGTCAGAGTTATGAACACCAGAGTTATGAACTGACTGGTCAACCACACACCTCATTTGAAACTGGAAGTATGCAATCCAGCAGCAGCAGAGACCCCAAAAAAGAAGCAAATGTAGTACAGTACTGTGTTAAATATTAACTACTAAAAAAAAAAGGAAAGTTTAAAAAAAAGATTTGACGAGGTAAGGAAACTGTTCCTGTGCTTGTTTCATTTAAATTAAGATGGTTAAAAGCAGCATTTTTTTCTTCTGCATAGTAAAGTTTCAAAGCTGTAGTAAGTCAATGTTCAGTTGTAAACTGTTGAAAGAACATAATGTTTTGTTCAGAGTTTACTAACATTTCAGAGTTACGAACAACCTCCGTTTCCATGGTGTTCCTAACTCTGAGGTTACACTGTAGCAGACTTCCAGGAATCTGTGGTAAATATTTGTTGCCTTCCTTGCCACTTCTAGAAGACATTCAATAAACCAATCAAAATAATAAGTTTAAATGTATTATTCTTTATAATCCTACTTTATATTTCATAATGTCAGTTCAAAGGGCGGGGGGGAGAGAAAGGAATGCACTTTCTTCTTTTCTCTGAAGATGCTAACAATATGTTTTACAGACAAATTCTAGAGGAAACTGTTGAAGCATAGATATTCACTGTAATCGTGCTTACAAAATCTTTACTAGCCTTTCCTTATACTCTTTATAAAACAAACTGGTCACAAAGGGAGGAAGGTGATAATGTAACCTCTACTATACATATGCATGTGCTCATATTTTTTAAATAGAGGGATTTGGTTATGTAAGAATCTGCTTCTAGCCTAAACAACAAAAGTTTAATGTGCAGGTGATTGTTCATATGTGAAAGACTTAAATTTCATAACTCATCCTGGGTTCCGTTGTGATATTATTATATTCCTAGCATCCTAATTCCATTTAGAACAGATAATATTGGCAAAGTGATGCTGTTTATTCTTTGTTTCAAGAGGAAACTTCCTTTGTGTCACATCTCTCAAATGTTAGCTGTTTTTACTAGTTTGCTGTATCAATTAGCATTTCTGGATTAATATTTCCAAAGGAAGTATGGTAAAGCAGGGGCCTAGGAACTACTGACATGGCTGCGTGACACTGATCATCCTTAAAAACTTCCCAGTGCTGTCTTTTATATCTCAAATACTGCAGCAGCATTATCTAGTTATTTACTATGTTTTTCCTGTATTTAGGATAGTAAAGACATTTATGAATATTGCACTAATATTACTTAATCAAAAGCAAAAAAGTATTGGCAGATGAAATACTGGTTGAAAAATTTACCAGGCAACTAGTGGCCAGATGACTAAACTTATTAGCTAGAGGTCACTAGGAAAAATGAGGGGGACCCAACCTGATGGAAATAACCATCCTTTCTTCAAAATCCAGTTCTGGGAAAGGGGCTAGGATTCCTATCAAGGGGTCATTTGGGGACCTTATCTTGGGCTCCATCGTTTATATCAGAGTTTAAAGACCCCTACATCTTTTTGGCTATTGGAAGGAAGTGTAGATTTTTCCCTCTCCCCATTACCACTTCTCACACCTCCTAGTTGCTATAAGGTTGTGTGTGTGTGTGTGTGCGCGCGCGCACACACAGCTCTACCTCTCCCACAACTTGTTAGCTGTGGCAGGGTATTCTGTGGTGTTAGATCCTTCTCTAGAGCTCTATGTTTCTTGGATCCTCCTCTGAGCTCCATTTCCCAGCTCTGCTTCAGAATGAAGTTGATATGATTCTTATTGGTTTTATTGTTGCTTACTGGCTTGAGACTATTAGCAGCAATGAAAGAGCCCAGAATCTGTCTTCTCATTTTCAATCTGCTGCTGCTTAGGAAAGTTATGAGCTGCAACACAGGCACTAGAGCTGCCTGTCTGCAGATTCAGGATGACAGCAGAACATGAGTTCACATTTGTAAGGTTCTCTTTGTAGACATAAAGGGTAGAAACATAGGGCCCCGTTCTTTCTTATCCAGGAAGCTTGGTTTGAACTCAGGGAGTTTCCTCTGGATACTTCCAGCAGGTGGCCATGGGTTGTGTGCCCTTCACCCAAGAAAGAAGCAGAGTAAGTTAAGCTGTAAAGGAAAACAAACAACAGCAGCCTTGTAGTAGCACATACATAATGATAGAAATTTGAATGTGTCATTGAGCCAGTTTTTATACATGAATTACAGTTTGAATAGACTTGAATAAGTTTGAATAAACATTTTCCTCACACTATATGTAATACAGTATTTTATATGTACATACCCAATTAATACACATGCTACATATTATATATATTTATAATACTTGCTTTCTACATATATATGCAGCTATTATTATTTTAGGACCACAGTATACTTGCCCAATATAATATCACACTATATTCATATATTTAAAAGGAGGGAAGGACATATATTCTTTCTTTATGCATAAAACATGATCGAATTATGTAAAAAGCTGTTTGATTTGTGCTATTTTTCAGTCCTTTTCATATACATGGTAACTTTCTCATTTTATTTTTTAGTTAAAATAAATTTATTTTTCTCAGTTAGGAAAACATCAAACAGTAACCAAATTGCTTTCCCCAGATCGTTTCAAAGACAAAGTGAGGTTAAAGGTTCCTGCAATTGTCAGGAAAAGGGAAAGGACTGTGTTTGTTCAGCTAGATACTCATTCTAAGTAAGGCTTTCTTTTTGTTTACAGAAGTTCTTTGTTTGCAATGATTCTTGATCTTAAAATATTGTGAACTTGAGAGATGCTGCATCTTTGAAGGAATATAATTTAAAAAACTACAATTCACCTCCTAATAAGCTCACTCAGCTGTGTAGGCTGCTGAACAAATATGGTTTGAGTTCTGAAGCAAAGAATGCATTTGGGGAAGTTGATGCAGTAGTAACTGATAGACAGACACGTTAGCCTTTGTGAAGTTCCACAGGCAGGAGATAACTTTATGCACAATAGACCTAGCCAGAAAAAAACCCATACAGAATAATACTTAGCAGAAATCCTTCAGCTTTGCAGCGGTGTAGTGGTAATCCGTTAGCTCCAGAGCTAATGGTAGGCTCCAAGTAGATGCGTGTGCTGTGACAATATAACTAGGAAGACTGAGTTCTCATTGGAATTCTGCAGAGCTAACTGGAGAGAATCCGGTCCATCTAACCACTTGAGCTTTCAGGAACAACGACAGGGTCTTTTCTGCTATAGCCCACACAGGCTTCATGCTGAGAGATTTAAGCGAATGTAATAGAATGCAAATCCACCACTTGCACTTTATCTGACATGGAGCTGCTTCAGATAATCGAAAAACCTTGAGAACCCAAACAGAATTTATTGCTTGGCAGTACAGAGTTTTCTTTTAACTTTAATGAAGTCAGAGAAGTCCTTGATTCTACATACTGTATCAGGACGGCTTGTAGAGTACTTCCACGGATGAAATGGCTTTCACTTCATGGCAAATTTTGTCCCCAATACAGTGGGCGCGCTGGATGTGGACAGCTGTGAGAAGCAGTGGAGACTACAGTCTCCTAGCCATGCAGAGAATCACTGGAAATAGGCAAGTCAGTCCTGTCTTTCAGGAAACTGTCACACCATTCAATTCATTGTATTACAGACCCAGTGGGGAAAAACTGCATCTGACCAGCAGAAATGCTTGCTAAGTAATTAACAAGACAATACTGTTATTGCATTCTTGGCTCGCAAAAATTGTTTTAAAAATGTTAAAATATAGTTTGTTTTGTTTGTTTAAAAGTACATCAAGTGCATAGCTTTCAGTTCTAGAAGGACAGTTTCCTAAAGTGGTTCTCCCCGTAGAGCAACATGTTATGTCCTTGTGCAATGTAGATCTTCATTTGATTTTTAGGCTAACTTAGTGCATCCTTTCGTATAGTTGTTTCCTTTCAAGCTTGCATTTCATTTGGTTGTCTCCATTGTGCACCTCTTTTACATGCTTGCGCCCATTGTGATCCTTCTATTTTTTTTATGTGTATGTGATAATGCAGTGGTGGAAATATATTACTGATAGCACACAGGAGTCAATGCATTTTCCAGCCTTGTCACTTATCATTGCCGAAAATGCTATGTAAAAATACAGCCGTGATGAAATGTAACATTTCTGAGAGGCTGGGCTGGCCAGGGGCTTGCTGTTGAGACTTATCCATCAGTTATTCTAGTGTGTGCTCTCTAGCTTGTCAGAACACACACAGCAATATAAGGCTTGATTATTTTAGAGCCGTAGCCTTTAATAAACAGCTATGAAACTCTCCTGAGAAGCTCCTTTTTTGTCTTTCTGTGTTGGTTTGTCTATGCCTGTGACAAGAAAAGCTCCAGAAATTCATAAAAAAGGTTGCATTGTTTTTGGCTTTCATACTGGAGTCTCCTTTGCACTGCACAGCAGGCTTCTCAGGAAGCATTTACTTTTTGAGTGCATGTTCACTTTGTGACAGAGAAATCTTAAGTAGCATAAAGATTTCTTCGGAGAAAACTTGCGACCATGATATTCGTGCTCTAGAAATCACGTGTGAAATTAATCCATCGTAGTCCACCTGTGAGAAATGCAGAGGTAGCCTGACAGCGGAGGTTTGCTTCCTCCACTCAGAAACCCCGGCATTTCAAAGTCTGATTTGTTCCTTCCACACACAAAAGCTCACTTTGCTCACTAGCCCAGGTTGTTAAAGAAACTCCTGTTTTGTATTTTCCTCAGGAGTTCAGACTCTGAAGAAGCATTTGAGACACCAGAATCCACCACTCCTGTAAAGGCTCCACCTGCACTACCGCAGCCACCACTGGAAGTAGCGGTGGTAGAAGCAGCAGCAGCAGCAGTAGACACAGTTGAACAGGAAATAAGGCCACAGCTGCCCTTGGAAGACACAGGTAATGAATATATATAATGAGTGGGCTGGATCACTCAGGAAGATGTGACTGTAAGGAGACATCAGTGTTAATCCCAGTAAAGAAAGGGTGCTAATAAAAGGATGGCTGGAAGATTAGTTAGTATATGCTGTGCCCTCTTCCTACTGGAAAAAATAATATATATCATAATTTGATAATGACAATTACATATTAAATACTATCATCAGCAGTCTTTTTTTTTTTTGTATTATCAATCAACACATTCATCTCCTGATACAACTTTAGTATGTTTTGGCACCATCATCTTTGTTTAAAAAATATAGCCTGATTCTCCACTCTGTTATGGAGTAAGTAGCGATGAATCAGGCCCATAATATGATTTGTGAAACAAGGAAAAACTCCCTTGGGTGCATTTCTTTCATATTAAATCAGTTTCCTTATTCCTGATGTTTTCAGAACTGTATGAAACTAGTCAGATGACTAAACACACATAGCTGTATAATCAGGTATAATTAATAATCTCAGTTAATAGGAGGGTATTTTCGGATCTCATTTCACCTGAAATGGCAAGTGATGACCAGATGATGATATATTCTGAGAAGTTCAGGATGTGTTAATAGGAAGTCAAGACTAATTCTATAAAGCCATGTAGCAATATAGCAGTATGTATATAATTAGTACGTAACACGGCAACGAAACAGATATTTTTCTTAAAACATGAATATCGTATTTTATGTAAAGAAATTCTGTCTAAAAAACCCTAATTTCCTTTGTTTGCTGAGTTAAGTAATGGAAGATGTGACAGTAGAAGCTGTTTCTATTAGCAAGGAGCTCAATGTGACTTTCAGCTGAACTGCAAAACAGGCAATGTGACTATTTATGGTCATTAAATGCCTCATCACACTTTTTGCAAGAGATGAGCAGTTAGCTCAATATCTTGGTTCAATTCCAGTAAAACACTTTCACTTTGTCTACCCAAAATTCCCATGTATTTCATTAGAACAAGGTTCTCTCCATCTGAATGGATGCATAGGGTTGCTGTGTGCTGTTCTAAAACTGCCAGCTTTTACCACAGAAGGTGGGTAAAGTGATATCAGTAAGTTGTGAGTAGTCTGTAAAGTCTGTCAATCTCTTTGGGGGGGGAGAGGGTCTTTGGACAAAAGATACGTTCCAGACATGTCTCCAGCTAGTTAGTCTTCCTTCAGAATTTCTGGACTTAAAATTCTCAAACGTGGGAGTTTTGATTGTAATTATAATTAGCAGAAGAAATGTCCAGTATACAAATGCCAAAAAACTAAAAAGACATGATAAGAAGAAATCCTCTGTCTCCTAGTACCTCTTCATTTTCATCCTCAGATCTTCCTTTTCCCAGTTTTCCTTATTCTTTATCAGTTTTTACAAATGTAATTTCCCTAATTGCAAAAGGAATTTAAATGCAGAGAGAGTAAAGGAGCAGATATGCTAAGCAGGCTTGGAGTGTGGTCTTTAATTACTACAATAGATTCACATTTACTCAGAATCCTTGATCACAGATGTACTTTCCTGCCCATGTGTTTCTCTTCTCCCCTTCCTCCCTTTCCCCTCATTTAGGATATTACTAAGAAAAGATGGGAGATTGAATGTATCCATTTGTAACCATTGTAAACTGCAATGTGTTAAAGGCTATTGATTCTAGCTGTTCTATTTTGATGCCAGTATTTCATTTGTAGGTAAAACTTGCCTGCAACAGACAAGTTACAACAAACTAACAGAGCAGTACACAGCATTTCAAAAGTTAGTAAAATGCAGTTATTCAGCACAGTGGCTTGCTGCAAGAAAAATTCAAGTGTAGGAGTGAAATGCAAAAGCATATGTTTCCTTTTAAAATCTATTAGGAGACATCAGTTAGCGTCCCTGTTACTTGGTTAATTGGACACTTATTTCAATGTGAATAGTGAAATGTTTAAAAGCCACTTTTAAAAATCTCAGAGTAGCAGCCGTGTTAGTCTGTATCCGTAAAAAGAACAGGAGTACTTGCGGCACCTTAGAGACTAACAGATTTATTTGAGCATAAGCTTTCGTGGGCTACAGCCCACTTCATCGGATGCATAGAATGGAACATATAACAAGAGTATATATATACATACAGAGAAGATGCCATACCAGAAACTGTAATTGACCATCTTGATTATCACTACAAAAGTTTTTTTCCTGCTGATAATAGGTCATCTTAATTAATTAGCCTCTTAGAGCTGGTATGGCATCTTCTCTGTATGTATGTATATATATATACTCTTGTTATATGTTCCATTCTATGCATCCGATGAAGTGGGCTGTAGTCCACGAAAGCTTATGCTCAAATAAATTTGTTAGTCTCTAAGGTGCCACAAGTACTCCTGTTCTTTTTAAAAATCTGTTATCTTAGTGTTAACTTGCCTCATAGGTTATACTCTCTCTCACACACACACACAGTCCGTCCCTTACACAGGGCTTCAATGGAGCTGAAGTACAGCTCCTACTTGGTAGCATAAATCTGGGAAACAAAGGTCACATTGGTGCCATTTCAGTAAAAGAGGAATAAGGGCACCTGCAGGGCCTGGCAAACTGCAACTGAGAAAATAACATAAAATCTGTGTTCCAATTTAGAGACCAGGCAGCTTTGTCTTCCGGAGGGCGGGGGGGGGGGGGGGTGGGGGGGGAATGGTAGGTTTGGAACACATGATTCCAGATAGGCCTGACATTAATAATGTATGCAGACGATTGTAATTATGCTTCATGATATGATTAGCACAACAGCTGGACCCCAGTGCTGAGGAGACATGATGAGAGTTTTTAATGTATTTAACTCCAGTGTAAGTTTAATAAAGGTTCTGAAAGTAAAATGTAGTTAAAACTTAAGGCTAGATATCAGTTCTTTAGGTGCACAGTTCTCCTCTGACTGCTGGAGGTCTGCACGATCTCCATGTGAGCTGGGTGGGAGATTGGGTCTCCTCTGACTTGTGAATGAGGAAACAGGGTTCCAGGATCCTTCCCACTACCAGCTCTTCAGACGCTGGGCTGAGCATGGGCAGGCTGCAGGACACCTACTCAGTATGGTAGCAGCTTGGCTTTGTCTCCTATTCTGCTTATCCTCCTCTTAAGCAGCTAGCAGGGTGGGCTATGTGGAGTATCCCCTGTTCACATGTGGGTACACTGGTGGGAGATGCACAAGAGAAGAGATTACAACCATGTTGCCTAACTGCTCGGAGACCTGGTTTGGATGCAAGATTAGCTGTTCTCATGAGACTTCTGCCCACAGTGGCAAATAACCTCATGAGACTACCTGGGTTTTATGAGATTTACAGCATTTTGGAAAAACAGTGGATTTATTTTTATTATTATTATTATTATTTATTATTCATTATGGTAGTGCTTAAGGAGCAACCAAGAACAGGGCCTCATTGTGCTAGGCATTGTACAAACACAGTAATAGCACAGACCCTGCCCCAAAGAGGCAGGGAAAAGGGTATAACACACAAGCAGCAAAGCGATGGTAGCAAATGTCATGTTAGTTCCATGTTTTTTTTCGAGGGCATGGGTTTAGTTTGGAGGCGACCAGATAAATGGAAAGAAAAGGGAAAGAAGCAGGGACATGGAAGGGAAAAAGGATAAGGGGGACAGGACAAGGGGAGAACAGGGTCATGGGGCAGGTGTGGTGAGAAGGAGGAGGAGACTGTGAGGGAGGGTTGGAGCAAACAGCCAATCAGCACAAGCCCAGTCAAAAGTTCAGAAAGTTGTCTGAACATTGAAAAGTCCCTACTTTGGCTGCTTCTGCAGCTGTTCTACTGGCTGGCATCCCTGACTGGTTCCTGGCTGCAGTTTTCCCCCAAGCCCACCAGGCAGGGTGCAAAGAGTGGAGAGGAAGGAAGGTGTGTCAAAGGTCAACTTCTACCCAGAGTTTCTTTTGAACCCCAACTCCAAACTTCAGTCTGGACTTGAACACTGCCTCTTCCATCCATCTCTAATATATTATAACAGAGGTATTTATGCTAATAAGCCCCTCACTTCTGTGTGGCACAGAAAATTCATGCCAGTTACAGTTCAGGTCTTTATTATTATTTACAAATATAAGTAAATTAGGATAGCTGCGCTTGTTATTGCAGACCAATGGAGCTTTACTTTCATGTCATCATGTTAAAATGTCATCAACACCTAATTGATTTATAAAATGCTGCATAAATGATGGTTGAGTTCTCTCTGTAATTAACCACAGAACATTAAGCAGTAATTCATTCTTACTGATATCAGTAGAGGAAAATAACTTTCCTCTACCATTTGTGCAAACATTTCAGTTCTTTGTAATACCCTTCTATCCTCATCTATTTGTCAGATAATAAGCTATAGATTAAAATGTCAAACATTAAACACTGTTGTCATGCTCTCACGTAAGAGCATCCGTAGAAGTGTAAAATCAGCATACACATTTACTGTCATCCACTCATTATTTATTTTTCATATTACACTAGTGCCTAGAGTCTCCAGCTGAGATCAGCTCCCATTGTACTAGGCACTCTACAGACATGCAGAAGAGACAGTCCCAAAGAGCTTATAATTTAAGCAGACAAAAGGTGGGAGAGGAAACTGAGGCACAGAGCAGTGAAGCAACTTGCCTAAGAGCACACAGCAGCCTGTGGGAGAGTAGGGACCAGAACCCAGGGTTTATGAGTTCCCAGTTCAGTACCCTATGCAGTGGGCCATTGTGTGATCTCCCAACAGCTAGAATTAATAATGTTCTCTAATATATGGGTTCTCAACTTTTTTCTTTCTGAGTCCCCCCCACCATACTATAAAACTCCAGAGCCGAGTGGAGGGCGCTTCAGGCTTCAGCCGCAGGGGGCAGGGGAGCTTCCAGGCTTCATGTTTCAGCTGCTGGTCCAGGGGGCCTTGAGGCTTCTGCCCCATGGGGTGGTGGGTCTAGGGGCTTCTGCCCCATGGATGATGGGCTTGGGGCTTTAGTCCTGCAGAGTTGGGGGCTTTAGGCTTCAGCTGCAGGGCGGGGTTGG